CTAATTAATCGACTAAATTCAGTCTATTTGAATTCGTTCTTGGGCGTGAGATGAGATGACCTCTGAAATTAATTATGCAGAAATTGTGAGTCAGAGTTCAGAGACCACATATTTGGACTGTATTTCAAATTTTGAGGAAACATTAAATACAGCAGGTGAGTTGACTAGAGAGCATTTAAAAGTAGCCAACAGGCGATGAAACAAGAAGCAGACAAGAGATCAAAAATGTGCAATTTTGCTTGTCAAGTTTTAGTGTTAGTGTTACTTCCAGTGGCATGTGAACCTTTAAAGGGCAAGGTTTAGTCGACCTTATCAAATGGAAAGGAAATTGAGTGAGTGAGGGGACTTTATTTGGTAAGAATGCCAGATAGATAGAAATCTCAGAGTGTGTAATGTGAATATGCTCAAAAGGTATTTTGATCTGGAAAAAAAACGAAAGGAGAATGTGTTACTAGTTACAACACACAGTGAGAAACCACTGCTCAGAGGCTTCAGAATTGGACATTCCTCAAATTAGATTGGACCAGGACGTTCTCAAAAACTGGGATACATTATTTAGGTATCTTTCAGAACAAAGTTGAAATGACCTGAAACAGTTATTACAATCACATGGGGACCTATGTGGGAATAAGCTGGGAAGTACTAGTTGGATTATGTATGATGCAGATATAGGAAATGCTGTTCCAATTAAGCAAAATCCTTGTCGACTTAACCCTCTAACATTGGCACAGATTCAAAAAGAGATTGATTGCATGCTCAAAGACAATATAATCGAAGTGAGTTGCAGCAAATGGAGCACACTTTTGGTAATAGTGCAAAAACTAACAATTGTTTATGGACTATTATAAAGTCAATGCAGTTACAAAATCTGATTCATATCCTATTCTACATGTTTAGAAAACTGGGTTGAGAAGGTGAGACAAGCTACCTATATTTCAAAGCTGGACTTAGGCGACACTAATCGGGTATCTTTATCCGAAAGAGAGAAGGAAATTTTGGTATTCAGGACACCGAATGGACTGTACCAGTTTCAAGTCATGGCATTTGGTATAAAAAATGTGCCATGTACATGTCAAAGACTAACTAATAAAGTCATCTACAACCTGGTGATTTTTAATCACACATGGGAAGAATATTTGGAGTATCTATCAGAAGGCGGGCTTGGTGATCAACCTGGCTAACAGTGAGTCTGCAAAAGCCCAAGTCACATTCCTGGGCCATGTCATTGGATCTGAACAAAAGGCAACCCAAGGATATGAAAAAAGGTTACTGGGGAGTTTCCCATGCCATTCACAAAGACAGAAGTACTCTGATGCCTGGCAATGTGTGTTTTTTTTTAAATCAGAATGAAATAAAAGAGCTTTTGAGGCAAACCTTTTGAATATTTTATATTTACATATGGAAAGATTCCACTGAAATCAAGCATAGAGCTTTTACACCATTCAGGACTGAGAAAAGCAAAGAGAAAACTCTTCTACTGTGCAACTGAATTTGTGCCTAAAACTCAGATACAACAAATGACCAAGATTCTAAAGCTATCCAGCAGGTAGAGATTGCTGATAGCATCAGGCTACCATTTGTTACATTTAAGTTTCAGCTACTTTTGCACACAAAGCAGCACTAATTTTAACTGTCCTTAAGGCCAACAAAGTAGAAATGAATTAAATTAAACCAGCCTCACAAGAATTAGGCAAAGTGCAACTCTGAAGGATGGTCAATGTACTGGGAATTCTTGAAATGTTGAATCTGTCACATCAATACTTACAAAAACAAACAACCAGTCAAATACAAAAAGTGAACTAATCACATGCCATTATTCAGGTTTTTTTTGCTACTTGGAGGATAAGCTTGATAAAGATTCTGGCTTGGTTGACTGGTTAGTTGTATCATTTCTCAATTTGAAGAGCCCATCCACAAAATGAAACTAGACCATGATTTTGCACTCTATAATTGATTTAATGGGTATAGCACAGAACTTCGAAATAGCTGTTTGTCATTGGGGCCTCTTCGAACTCTTTCAATTCACCAGTATTGCATGATATTAATCAATTCCCAATTTTTTTTACCCAACAATAGATTCAAAACTTCCAGCGAAGATTTTTAGAAATTGAAATTGAACAAAATTTCTTGAATATTTCAAAGTTCTAATTGCTTTATTCAAAATCTTAAGTAATTACACAATTAAATGAGGGAGAGATGATTTGATTAAGCATAGTTCGTTCAGAAATAACCAAATTCCACTGAGAAGAGAACCTAACTCATTTTTAAATGAGTACTGAGTTTCTGCCTTAAATGTGGAAATTAATTCATTACATGAATTACACAATTTAAATACATTTTCTCATACCTACCCTAAAAATTTGTCATGTATCATCTTGAATCCATGGAAGCGTTTCCTAATTAAGCAACTTATTTCCAAGTAATTAATCAAATCTGCTTTTTTCCATACATTTTTGTAACTTAGTGGCATTAAACCTGGCACAGGTCAATAAATGCATTACACATCTGTACTGACATTAGTTTTTGTGAAGAAGTCAATTTAAATTAACTTTGGTAACTAGTAGTTGCCAATGTCTTATTTAGAACATGGCTGAACAAAAATAAGTCATGCTAAAAATGCTCATTCACAGATGAAAATAAGTTAGGGAAATTGCTGTAAAAACAGCTACATAAATTTTCTAGCTCCCTGGAACCATCTTATTTATTCCAGGCCAACTGACCTGTAAAGAAAATGCACATACAGCAAAACACTGACAATCCGATTCACTATGTTGTACTTCAGTTCTCAGATTGCACCATTTGATGCAAGCTGACCCATTTTGCAGTAAAACCTCCAAGTTACCAGACTCAAGAATATTAGGCAAAGTGCATTTGCAAAACACCCCACGCTAAAGAATGATGGGGGCATTGGGACCCCCTAAATCTGTCAAATCAAAACTTACAAGAGAAAACAGACCTGCAAATACAAAGTGCACTGGTGTGTGTTATTTGGTAAAATAAAAATTAACCCCAACGTGATGTTTATAAGAGACCAAAAATATATCAGCAGGACTATTTTACTAATTCGATATCTCATGCAATACTGATACTGTCTTTCAGACGAGGTAGCAAACTGATTAGGTAAAATGTAGATTTCATATCTCTTGTTAAAGATGGGACCTCTTATTGCTTGTTGTGAGTACTTATCATATGTAAGCTTTCTTGCATGGCAAATTTCAAAAGAAACAGACCAGAATTGGGTGGGGGCTGCAAACAAAAAGAGAAAAAATTTCAAAAACAAAAAAAAAGATGGTTACAGTATTTGGGAATGAGACAAAAGTGAGCTGAAGGAAATATAGAAAGGGATATAGGAAGAGAAGGGGTGGAAGGAAAGCAAGGAGTCAAACACAAAGAACTCAAAAAAGATACTTCAAGTTAGATTAGAGAAGCTTTGTTCAATGTGACTTTTTCCAGTTTACATTTTAATACACCTCCCTTTAAAAGTATTTGACATCCACAAGTTTAAAAACCACTAAAAGCAAAGCAGTGTTCCAAGCCAAAAATAGAATTCTGCCATATGCTACCCAAACATTTAAAACAACATTTTAGCGCAAGGCAGCGCACTGCAAGGAAATGAATAAGATTTCCATGGCCAGTGCATTCAAAACTACCGAACCAGTTGCTAATTATGATTCAAATTATTTTGCAGAAAAGTTAGCATTTAAATGGACAAAGAAAGAGAATTCAGAAAGCATGATAGTCACACATTTTTTTGCAAATGCTGTTAGATCATTTTAAACTACACTTACTTCCCTGGATATTGGAATTTATGCTATAATAAATGATACTCATTTCCAGGCAGGTCAAATTACAATACACGTTTACATAATTTTTGACTATCATAATCACTGACTTACATTTAGAAAGTACTATGATGATTAACTATGTTAATCAAAATCCCTCAAATGAACAGAAAATTAAACTAGAACACAGATGCTTTACACAATGTTTATAACTTCATTTAAACAAAGGCAACAAAACTTAAATATGAACACTTTTCTTCACGTGTAGCCCGATTTAAATTTAAAAAACAGAAATTAATAATAAAAGGAAAATGGAACTGGCTTCAAGTGTGCAAATATCTTATGTTTACAAGGCATAAGGATTTAAATCTCAAATAGAATATTCCATTGCAAGATTTTGTTTCAACCTTTTTCCACTTTGAAAAGTAACACAAACTATCCATCTGCTTTATGAATTCAGGAGAGCTTTCCTCGATTAGAAAACAAATTGCACTTCAAGTAAAGTTTATGATCTTAATCTACTGTCGATAATGGATGCAAATTTTAGTGTTCAAATTTAACTCAATTTTTGCACAAGCTACAATTTCTTGGTAATGTTAATTTTACTGCCGAATTCTGATCCCAAAATCCACATTTTGTTTTTACCCTGATTTTAACATTGACTAATTTTGGTCTGGCTCTTGAAATAAAATAATGTTCCATTTTCCCTTGACTGGCTTCTTTCAGTTTACAATCCAGAAATAATTTAAATAGACATCCCACTGGAGATGTGGTAGTGGTATTGTCACTGGATTAGTGACTCAGTAACGTGATGGACTCTTACATGCCTGCTGAAATCGCCTAATAAGCCACACTGATCATGCAAAATTAGAGATGGGCAACAAATGCTGGCTTTGCCAACAATGTCCACATTCAAGAAAATAAAAAGAGAATTTGGATGAAATGTTGTTTCTTAATGATATAATGTTTATCTATGTAATATACAGAACATTAACTAAGGCAGAGATATTTTCTGTTGGTGGGAAGGGTGGCTCTGTCTATATATTCAAAATAAATAACTTTAATTCTCAGTGGCTGTTTCAGTAGGATAAAAATTGTAAATTATTTTCTCAATAACTTTATACATTCTAGGTTCTATCGTGCAAATCACGACTTTGTCACAATCTACAAATGGCTGTGCTTGACTCAAAATATGACCAAGACAGATTGTAAACTTACTTGTCAAGGAAATCCTTGTCCACTATCGCGCAAATGTCAAGAAGGGGGTTTCCCATCCCAAAGAGAGCATTTTGTCTGGAAAAACAAGCACAAAATGGCTTAATTAGCTCATTTCTACAGTAGTCAAACTTAGAGAGGCATTTGTATCTTTCCAAAATTCAGAACTGAAAAGTAAGACAGGTGCTAGGCTTTTTAGTTAAAAGATTTTAAGCTATGTATCTGAAAAAGTTTTCATTGGCAACAGGCAGACAGAACTGACTTTGAAAATGAATTTTATTTGCTTTATGTTATTTTATTTCAATCATGTAATTACAAAAAACTTGATAAATATTAACAATTGGCATTTCACTAATATTGTCAGCTTTACTATACAATTTCCAACTTAATTGTTTGTTATGTTTGATCTTATTTAGGTCATCAGATGGGTAAGACAAAACAAATACAAATACAAATACAAATACAATCACTTGACTTTTACATGAAGAAACCATGTCCAAGTATAAGTTTACACAAAATTAAACAGAATAAGAGTGAGCTATAACATCTGAATTCAGCAATAACTTCATACAATTGTTTCATTTGGAGCAACATTCAATAAACATTAAAGTATTGTTAATTAATATAATTTCCTCCAAACTAGTTTGCCATTTACTTCTGGCCCCATTGGATTATCTACATCATCCTTCAGAGGAAGCAATAACGTCACTGTACAAGTAATCCAGAACCCCAGCTCTGTGGACATGGTGTTTGAATCTGCCACGAAGGGATGTGAACTCAAATCTCGAATAACATGTTATCCTAATGATGACCATGTACTACCACTGATTGCTATAAAAACTCATCTGAATGGCTCTTATATTTTAGCTTAGGAAACTGGCCTTCCTTAACTGATCTGGCCAACATGTAACCTACAGCAATGTGGTTCACTCTCAACTGCCTCTGGCCTATGCTGACCTAGCCAGCTAAGCCCACATCCTATGAATGGATTAAAAACACAAAAATCAGGAAATCCTTCTATCCTTCACTGTCACTGGGTCAAAAATCCTGGAATTCCCTTCCTAACAGCATTATGCATCAACCCACAGCACGTGGACTGCAGCAGTTCAAGAAGGCAGCTCACACCACCCTCTCAAGGGCAACTAGGGACGGGCAATAAATGCTGGCCTGCCAGTGACACCCACATCCCACAAATGAATAGCAAAAAAATCCATAATTATTAATGAAATCATGACAATAAAAAATGACTTTGCTATGAAGTGCATTTCTCATTAAAGCAGTACAGTTTTCTTCAATAAACTGTGCCAAACAGATCCTGAATCATGACTTTTCGTTTTAAGGTTGTTATGGAACTTGCAGATGCATAGTAAAAAGGAGGATGAATTTGGCAGACAAACTGAAAACATTTCATCTTAAAATTAGGTCACTGCCATTTTTAAAGCAAGAATATGTGGCAAAGTTCTAACAAAACATTAAATATCCAAAAATGTATTTGTCTGTAGTCACTACAATCAAATAAGCTCATACATTCAATAGAGTATTAAGTCAGAGGACATTTCAAGAACTTGGGGGTTGGTTATCTCAGTTGTGAAGGGTCACAGGACCAGAAACATGAACTCTGCTTTCTCTGCACAGATGCCACCAAACCTGCTGAGGTTTTCCAGCAATTTCTATTTTTGTACCTGATTTTAAGCATCTGCAGTTTTTTTGGGCTCGACCCACCCCACCCCCCTCAATTGTTTGGATGGCTGGCTTGCAATACTGAGTGAAGCCAACACCACGGGTTTAGCGCCCACACCCACTTAGGTTACCATGTAGGACTCTCCTTCTGAACTTCTGTGTTCAAGCTGACCCTCAGATTAAACCACCTATCAGACAGCAGCCCTACTATCTGGTCAGACATCACCTTCTCCTTTGACACAGCTATATTTGCAACACTAGAGTACATATCCCAATTAATGAGTCTTGTGCAAATTAGTTATCACAAGCAAAGGTTAAGGCAAAATAAACAGCTTTTTCACTTTAAGAAATTGATTTTCCTACTTCTATGGCAGTTTTGTACTGTCAACCTGGCTGAGTTGTTTGGATCTTCGGTCGAAGTGAAGTCACTTGCAGTTTTTTAAAATTTATTCTGATATGCAATGTGATTGTCACTGTCAAGGTTTGTTCCAGTGTATTCAGAAGTGCCGTTGACAGAGGTGGTGTCATTTGAATGAAACGTCAAACTAGATAGCCATGGAGAGAGAAATAATCTCCGTAAATAATTTGCTCATTACAAAGTTCTTTCTACTAACAGCACTATCAATTTTGATTCCAAAAATTGTATCAAAGATGGAACAAAACTTAGTCTTACAACCTTTTTGAAGCAATCCCAAGCATTCAGAGGTTTATCATGACCTGTGAAGCAGGTCAGATGTGATAGAAGAATCTCTATTTGCCTTGACTAGTGGAATTCCAAAGAAGAAAAAAGTGAATAGGAAAATGGACACAGGAGAGAAAGAGATAAAATGGAGAGTGGGACACACAAAGAAAGATAAAAGGAGAGGTGCAGGCAGAAGAAACAAAGACAATAAGGCAAGGAAAACAGACATGAATGAGAAAGTGAAGAGAGAAGGCGGGGGGCCGGGAAGGAGGGAGAGGGAGAGGGAGAGGGAGAGGGAGAGGGAGAGGGAGAGGG